AGGGGACGCGGCGGCGCGGGGCGCAGAGCCGCGCAGCGGAGCCGCGCAGCGCCCCCCAACACCCGCTCCGCACCGGGGGCTCCGCTTCCCCCCGCTGCGCGTGCAGAGCGCCCCGCCGCGCACCCGCCCTTTACCTTTTTTTTCGACCTAAAACAGTTTTGGGGAGGGASAGAAGAGAGGAAAAAAAGTAAATCTACAACTTCTGCAAACTCCTCCGGCGCCGCCGCTCCGCGCGCGCGGTCCCGCGTCCCGCCGCTGACCGTCGCCGCTGCCACTTTGACTTTTTTAACGCCTCCCTAGCCCCGTAGCCACCTGATTATTACTTTTTTTCCACTCCGTTTTCCCCCCTCTGCCGCTTTCTCGCATGAATCTCCTAGACCCCTTCATGAAAATGACAGAGGAGCAGGACAAATGCATCTCCGACGCCCCCAGCCCCACCATGTCGGAGGACTCCGCCGGCTCCCCCTGCCCCTCGGGCTCCGGCTCGGACACGGAGAACACGCGGCCCCAAGAAAACACCTTCGCCAAGGGCGACGCGGAGCTGAAGAAGGAGAGCGACGAGGACAAGTTCCCCGTGTGCATCCGGGAGGCCGTGAGCCAGGTGCTCAAGGGCTACGACTGGACGCTCGTGCCCATGCCCGTGCGCGTGAACGGCTCGAGCAAGAACAAGCCGCACGTGAAGCGGCCCATGAACGCGTTCATGGTGTGGGCGCAGGCGGCGCGCAGGAAGCTCGCCGACCAGTACCCGCATCTGCACAACGCCGAGCTCAGCAAGACGCTGGGCAAGCTCTGGAGGTGAGTGCGGGGCTCCCGGGGGCTGCTCCGGCCCCGGGGAGAGGAGCTGGAAGCGGAGGGAGGRAGGAAGGGGAGGGTGTCCGGCTGGGGAACCCGCCGCGCGCTTGGCACGTGCTGCTCAACTCCGTGCGCGCAGGAGAAGGCAGAAATTTGGGAAAAGCGGAGCACGCGGCTCGTGCTGCTGCCGCCCCGGCGATGCTGCTGCCGGGCGGCCGGGCCGCGGAGCGGAGCGCCCGTGCCCGGGATTGCATCAGCATCGGCGGSGCCGGGAGCCGCCGGGCGGGTGGTGGGTGGCGGCGCTGAGCGCGGCGGGGCCGGGCGCCCTCCGACTGCCAGAACGGGGCAGGGAGCGGAGCGAAACCCAGAGCCGCGTGAGTCACCTGGCAGCCTCGAGCCCGAGCCCGCGGGAAGGGCCCGGAGCCGGCGCTGCAGGGGCCGGGGTGGCGGGAAGGGGCGAGGGCTGCACCCCCTGGCACCAAAGAGCCCGGGGCTCTGTGCCTGCCGAGGAGGAGGAGGAAGGATGCTGCGGGATGGGGGCCTTGGCACTGACCCCCCCGCCGCCCCGCAGGCTGCTCAACGAGAGCGAGAAGCGGCCCTTCGTGGAGGAGGCCGAGCGGCTGCGCGTGCAGCACAAGAAGGACCACCCCGACTACAAGTACCAGCCGCGGCGGAGGAAGTCGGTGAAGAACGGGCAGGCGGAGCAGGAGGAGGGCGCCGAGCAGACCCACATCTCCCCCAACGCCATCTTCAAGGCGCTGCAGGCCGACTCGCCGCAGTCGTCCTCCAGCATCAGCGAGGTGCACTCCCCCGGCGAGCACTCGGGTAAGTGCCCGCGCCACTGCTGCTCCCGCTCTGCCTCTGTATCGTGGTTGCAAAGGTCTAGGTTGGGGCTAGGATGGGCTGCATACAGAGCTAACCCTGGGGTGGGATTAGGGGATGCAGAGCGGAGGCCAAGCCAGGAGCGCAGCGAGGCAGGGAGGATGCCCTGGGTGCATGGGGATGAGTGCGGTGCTGCCTTGCCCCAAGCCCAGGGGCCTGCACGCGGGCATGCACCATGTGCCCACCTCCAACCCTGTCTCCCCAGGGGGAATTTAAACCCGTATTCCAAAGAAAAGAAAGATGCGCCCAGGACAGTTTCCCCTGGTGCTCGGTGGCCACCAYGGCGCTCGTGCCCGTTCCCCGCGCGGGCGCCACCATCGCAGGGCCCCCTCGGTGCCCGCGCGGTGCCGTGACCGCCGCGCTCTCCCCTCACCTCCACAGGGCAATCGCAGGGCCCCCCCACRCCACCCACCACCCCCAAGACGGACCCGCAGGCGGGCAAGCAGGACCTGAAGCGCGAGGGCCGCGCGCTGCCCGAGGGCGCCCGGCAGCCRCCGCACATCGACTTCCGCGACGTGGACATCGGCGAGCTCAGCAGCGACGTCATCTCCAACATCGAGACCTTCGACGTCAACGAGTTCGACCAGTACCTGCCGCCCAACGGGCACCCCGGCGCGCCGGCCGCGCACGGCCAGGTGCCCTACACGGGCAGCTACGGCGCGGCCGGCAGCCCGGCGCCCGCGGGCCACGCGTGGATGCCCAAGCAGCAGCCGCCACCACCGCAGCA